CTGTAGTCTCTCTTCTTGTTCATTTTCTATCTCCTCCAACCATTGCCGTAGTTTCTCTTCTTGTTTATTTTCTCATTCTTCTTGTTTCTTTTCTTTTTCCTCCAACAACTGTTGTAATCTCTCTTCTTGCTTCTTTTCTTTTTCCTCCAACAACTGCTGTAATCTCTATTCTTGATTATTTTGCTGTTCGAGCTGCCACTGTTGCAGGTTTTCTTGCAACTGCTGTTGTCTCTCTTCTTGTTTCTTTTGCTATTCTTGTATTGCTGCCATCAAATCTGCTAAGCTGTAGTTTGATTTGCCACCTCTTGTTTCCATCTTCTTCTTCTTCTTTTTTTATTTTTATTTTCAGTCCACTCTCTGACACCAGTTTGTTACATCTGTGTTTGTTTGTTAATTTTTCATAGAAATTATTTCTGAGAAACTTCAGTGATACAAGTCTTTTCTTAAATAAAACTAGTTTATTCTTTCTCAATTCAACTTTGCAATACATTCAATTTCCACAGTCAGTTTAACTTAAACACACGCTATAATTCACAACGAACGATTCATGCACTTTACTTACTACCGCGCTTGACTCAATTGTCCGTCTCAATCTCTGCCTATCTGCAATTATCTATCTATCTATACGTGCCGCCACTTCTCGCCATTCTTATATATACAAAATAGAGGGCGTCTGGTAAACACCATTAAACATTTTCAAGAGTTCAATCAGTAAATAAGTGTTTTGCATAAATTATATTGGTTCATCAGTATTCAGTTTCTGTGTGTATGATATGTTATGACAGCAGAATTCACGTGACACTGGTAACACGTAATGAGTATCTAGAACGTTCGTGAAGACTTGACGTATGTAAAACAAGATCACTAACCTCATCTAGAATGGCATCAGCTGTATGGCTTGGTAGAAATCTAAGTCCTGCTGTGGCCTTCAAAGACAAGGGGGTGCCACTCCAACATTCAGATGGAATCACTGTTTTAGCCTTTTCTAAAAGGGATACAATACTGCTGGCAGCCTGGAAAATACCTTAGTACATTTAATATAATCACACTAATATAATTACTCAGCTTCACAAAAGTGATAGCTGCACATTTGTTCAATATTACCAAATTGTGCCAGATAATGCTTAGCCTTACAGTTATCATACAACCAAGGATAAATTCTCACAGATACTAACTAACTATACAAATAATGTACATCACTTTACTTTGCAGATTTTAAAAGGTGGCAAAAACCACTCTTTGATGAAAGCCACTGTAGGTCGAAGTACCATACAAACATTATTAATATTATAATGTAAGTAAAATACAAGCATATTTGTATCCAATTTATAATGATATACTTTTTACAGCCAACAAAACAGAAATATATTATTAACAAAATACACACACAAAGGTCTAATATTCCCTGCAACATCCTCAAATAAACGATAATGTCCCAAAAATGAACTTGCAAGTTTTATGCAAATACAAATACTCTCAGAATGAAGTCAAATCTAATGACCAATTTTTTACTGATTTATTGATAAAATTTAAATGTAGTCATACTTTTACTTCTTAAAGAGTCATCACACCAAATACAGATTAGATGGTATTAAAAATACAAAATATCAACAATAAGCATTTATCAGCACTTTTTAATCTATTCAAAAAGTAAACAGTAATTAAATAGCTTTAAAAAATTTACTCTAAATCGTTAAAACACAACAACTCTGGAGAGAAAAGCAACATTTAATATTTCAAACAGTTTAATAGATAATATACATAATCTTCATGATGAGCAAACAAAGTTGAAATGGGCAGCAACTACCTAGTTTAGAGTGCCACTTGAGGAGAAAGTCTTTGAAAACTAATATACAAAAGTAGTTCTGGTGGAAAAATGCCTTCCACCTGAGATACTTTTGTAAATAATTCTTCCAAGATATTCTCCTCAAGTGTTACTCTGAACTAGGCAGTTACTGCTCATTTCAACTTTGTTGATTAACTTAATATTATCTTTAGCTAAACTGAAGAACTTTTGAAATATTTTTTAGAAACTTCAAAAATCGTACAAAATTATGGGACGTTAATGAAAATTGCAAAAATGTCAGTTATTTCAAGTTGAAATCCTCTAAAAAAGTAATTTTCACCAAAACTCACCTCTGATGGAGATTCAGCATAGCTTGATAGTCCAGGTTTAACCTCTTGAAAGTATTCATCCAGAAGGGTTAGGCCTGTTTCTGTAAATAAATTAATAATTTAAATTTAGTAATTCTATTTTTAACTCACCTTGCAATCTATATATCTTAAAATGTTTTACTGTTATTTTCAAAGTTACTGCAACACATATGGCAATTACAGTGGAATTAATGTTCATGAAATTCAATTTGTTCATAAACTAAGTTTTGCTTTATCCATTACTACAGAATTTGTTTTCTAATTAAAATGATTCTCAAATAAATAGTTAACTCAAGGTGAACTGAACCAAAACTAACTTTGCTAGATCATCATTTCATCTTAAAAAACCAGAAGTGAAGAGAGTTATATACAGGGGGATATTTATTTGAAATTAATTTAACTACAAAAAAAAAAATTAGCAATGAATGTAAGACTGAATGATACCTATTGGACACCAATAGGAAAGATAAACAAAAAAAATGTTCAAGAAGAAAGAAGCAGAAAAGAAGAAAACTGCCCAATTGAAATTTGGAGCAGACTAGAGAAACAACCTACCTCATTGAAATCTTGGTTCAAAAGAAAGAAATGGTGCTAGCCACATTAGAAAGGCTGAGAAAACCACTAGGGGGATATTCTGAGCTTCTGATTGGTTATTCATATCATATATAAAAATATTAAGTGTATATAAGGGAGCGTTTCTAAAAATGGAAAGAGGTGGAAAGGGTGCCACTGTGTTTCTTACATGAGCAATATCTTAGTAAATAGAAAAGATAAGACCTTCTT